GTTTTCCAGGAAAAAAAAGGTTCTCTAATTGAAAATGTTCAATTTTGCTTTTCTTAAAGCTTTCTGGATTGTACAGCTGGTAATTTACAATGTCATCTTCCAACATTTTAGTGTGATTGTGTTGCTTTAACAACAATCAAGCAACATGCATTTCACTTGTCATTTCTTTGTGAAATGTTGTATGTATCTGACAACTGTGTGTTAAACTGTGTTCTCTCTCATCTACATTTTCCTGTTCAGACAAGTACTTTTTTCCTACATAGAATGTGTGTTGCTGTGAAATATGTATTTAGGTTTATCCCTTTTGTTCTGTCTTGCTTTGATACTTCTTGTGCTGTCAAATAGAAGCTGGTTATGGTTTGTTTTCTGTTCAGTTTGCCACAGATTGCATGGTTATTTACCCAACATAGGATCAGTGTAAAGATTGTAGTTCTAGTGAGCGATGAACAGATTAATATAAAAATGATTTGAATTGGGTTTTGTTCTTTAAGATTTCTAATGAACAATAAAAATGATCACTTGTAAATAAGCACTTCAAGGATTTTTCAAGAATCCTTGTGAACTTAGTGGCTAAAGAAATGGATATCTAGCTGTGAGTCAAGGGTGCAGTTCCTATCATAGGTGGCTTCCTATTGTAGGGCAACTCATCCCAACTTAGAGTAGGTCTTGAATTTGCCATGCCTTGCAGATGGAAGGCCTGGAATTTTGTAAATCCAGGAAAGGCTAGGAACACTTAACTCGGTTCTCCTTCAAGCCTCCTATCCCCTCACCATAACCTACTTTACTTTCAGAGGTAACAGTCTGGTTGCTAGAGGTAAAAGGGTACAAACTTGTTTCAGTGACTAACTGAAGGGATGGAAACTGTGTTGTATTTTCTGTGTGAAATTAAAACATGGGACTGAGCTTGAAAAAAGGTGGTGAGATTTCATTTGGGTAGGAATACGTAACTTCAGTTATACTGTTTCTTTTCTGCAGTTAAATGCCTCAAGAACACACCAGCTTTCTTTGCTGAGAGGCTGAGGAATGCTATGAAGGTAAGTGCCTATGTCAAGGTGCATAAACGTAGCGTATGTTTTTAAATGATTTTACTGTTCATTGGAGTGAATATTTCAACCACCTTGTACAGATTTAATGGTACTAATTAAAGGATAACTAATGAGCTGGAAGTATGAATTTTTTCCATGAACACAAGACTTAAGATTTAGTATGATGGAAGGCTGGAAAAACCTACCTTACTTGATCCACTTAATAAAGTGTATATAACTATGCCACTGATTTCTTGTTTTATTATGGAGACTTCTTTCCTTAATAAAACAACTTATATGTGTAGGACTTGTTGATAGGGTTTAAGTATGGAGGGTTAGCTGAAGTGCACTTCCAGTACGTTTAATTTACTAATGTATATGCTACATTCCTACTAAGCTTAGTGAAAGCAGTGAGGTTTTGCTAGTAAAGTGCTGGCATTTGGTGAGGTGATGATCTCTTGATCCATGCTGTATCATCCACAGTTTCCACACATGATTCATGTATGACATTGTTTATTTCAGGGAGCAGGAACAAAGGACAGAACTCTGATTCGAATCATGGTGTCACGCAGTGAGGTTGACCTTCTGGACATACGTGCAGAATACAAGCGGATGTATGGCAAATCCCTCTATTCAGATATCACTGTAAGTCTTAGAGCACTAGTTTGCCCAATTCATTTGCCTGAGGATGCCTGTGGGGACTTAGGAAGCTTCATTCACCATGTAATGAAGGTGCCAAATCTGTTAAGTTCCTATGCATTCTTCTGGTTTTTCACATGGAGATGCAGCTTAGTGGCGCTCACAAGGAAACCCAGAAAGATAGTGGGGGATACTTTGTGCACCAGCAAATCTTGGCTATTCTGTCAGCAGCTATATTGTCTTTTTGGCCATGACTTCAAGGTTCAACTAGCAGAAGCTTTTTACAAATCAATAACTCTTAGATGAATATGGCACTTCTCACAGTATTACATGAAATTTTACACATCAGGAATAGGAACAGATAATTCCCATTTAGTTGGCAGAACTTCATCATTTCACTAAGTGTGGCCATAGGTGTGAACCCTGCCTCTTCTGTAGAGGCAGTAAGAGGAAGTAGAGTTGAAAAAAGCTTTAAAGTAACTCCTTAATTCTTCTGTCATTGTCCATAAGCGCACAGCAGTTGCTTCAGCACATGAATAAAGTAAAGTGCTTTATATTTTGCGGATTGTACTTTGTGTAGGGTTTATTCTGATTCTTGAAGCATCTCTTTGTCACTAGAGATTTTTATCCAGAAAATGGTTTTCAGGGGTAATACACTAACTGAAACTGCCTTTTGAAAAGGGTTGACAAACCTCATCAACCAAGTCCAGTTAATGAGCAGCTCCCAGGGAATGCTTTTTAGTCATAAAAGCACCAGGTGACATTTATCTAGCAGAGCTAGCTGAATGGTGATCATATCATCATGGAATGGCCTGGGTTGAAAAGGACCACAATGCTCATCCAGTTCCAACCCCTTGCTATGTGCAGGGTCGCCAACCAGCAGACCAGGCTGCCCAGAGCCACATCCAGCCTGGCCTTGAATGCCTGCAGGGATGGGGCATCCACAACCTCCTTGGGCAACCTGTTCCAGTGCCTCACCACCCTCTGTGTGGAAAAACTTCCTCCCAGTATCTCACCTAAACCTCCCCTGTCTCAGTTTAAAGCCATTCCCCCTTGTTCTATCACTATCCACCCTTCCACCCTTGTAAACAGCTATTTCTCCTCCTGTTTGCTGCTGTTCATGAAATCTTTTCCACACTTTTGCATGTACATTCATTGTGGTTTTTGCTGCCCTCGAATCGAACAGATACTATGTGACTGAGGTGTGAGTTTGATCTCTTAATGCCAGGGCATCACTTTGAACATTCAAATATAACAAAGAGTAAACTTTCCCTTGCTGCTCCTTGGAAAAAAATCCATGCTGAGTCCAGGGAAAAGGAGTTCAGCAATCTGTATTGCTGTTTCTGTAGTTTCTTTCTTTTGTTGGCCAAAAGACAACTTTTCACTGAAGGTTTTTGCTGAACTTTTCCAGAATGTGCAATTGACCCTGTATACCAAATTCAGTTACCTAAGGAAATATATTCCCTTATTGATGTTTTCCATTCCATAAAGGAAAGAGCAGATTTTGCTGTTGCATTGTTGTTTTCAATAAGAAGTGAACACCTGCTTTCTTTCAACCCTGTCTTCCTTTCCTTTAGTTAGTAGCTTGGCATTTAAGACAACTTTTTTTCTTCCTTCCCCTTCCAACTCCCACGTCCCCAAAAAAGTAGGATGCAAGCCTTCAACTCTTCTTTTTCTGGGTTTATTTCCAGGGTGATACTTCAGGAGACTACCGGAAAATCCTGCTCAAGTTGTGTGGAGGAAATGACTAAAAGGAACATTGGGCTTTCATTTAACAAAAAAACAGAGAGGAGAAAAGAAGAAAATGCAGCTACTATTTTCATGGTTTTGCTTTAAAGCATCTTTTTCCCCAAAAGTAAATATGTTATGAGCTGTCTCTCTTAAAGTGAATTGCTAGATGAAAAAAACACAGAAATCAAGCTTATGTACCATCTGCTTAGGATTCTTGGTTACCTTCTACAGTCCAAGAATGAGAGTTTATTTTTCAGCTTACTTTAATCATCGGAAATAACATGATTGTTTTCTGGAGTGAAAATTGTAGTTGTATGGTTTAAGGCTTTATTTTGTACAAATATCACATGCCACTTTATTGCTGGTTTTATATATATTGTAAGCAGAGGTGGTTTCATACTTACACCTCGCATTTTTGTGTCCAACTGAGACTGTTTTAAAGAAGTTTTGTTGAGTTGTGCTTTCTTTACTTGGCTGCATGTTTCTAAGTTGTGTTCCACATTGCTTTTTCATCAGGGCAGCTGTCACAAGGCTATAATAATGTTGATATGAGTAGAAGTTCTTCAGTTAACGTCTTTCAGGTTTTAGATTGTGCCTTAAATATCTAAATATATCTAGGAAAAGATTATAACATTAAAGCTGCCTATCTTCTAACTCTTAGAAGACTCTGCTTTTTGTTGTTCATGTTGATGTCATCTTTGCTGTTCTCAAAATGAAAATGTAGAAATGTTCAAAAAAAACCACCCAAAAAACACCTAAGTTGAAGAAGCATAGAGATAGGTCAGTTAAAAAGGATTGCTTATTAATCAAGAATGTGCAAATTTCTCTGCTGCACACACACCTTTCTGTAAAGGCCAGGTAGGTCTTTTTTACCTAGAAGTTGTGTTGTTCTATGTTTGTCATAGAGGAACTCAGATGTTTTGAATGTAAGTTTAAAACCATTATCAGATTTGGAAAAAACGGAACAGTATCATTAATTAGCGGGGAAAAATGCTTATGTGGGATAAACAGGTAAATAGATAGGGACTTTAAAACATTTATCATCTTTTAAAGTATATGCTTTTTATTTTTGAAACCTTACAGTTTCCCCATCTGTATTCCTTTGCATGTTTTAATGATGCTGTTGTCTTAAAGGTATTTCTTTTTCCTCCTCCATGAAATCAGAAGATAGATTTTTGGAATTAACTTCAAGTTGTGTTGTCATCACAGCCAGGCAGGCTGAAGAGTGTAAACCTAGTGGAAAAATCTAGCAGGCCGTGCAACCTATCTACAAGTTTTGACATGGATATGGAACAAGGGTTCTTACTTCAGTCAGTGACAGCAATGTGAGCAAAGCTAGACCACACCATATGTCTGTTTTTGTCAGACAGTCTAATTATCTCAAGAGGAAATTGCAGCTGAAAGTGTGTCTTCCACAATTTGCACCCATAGCAAGGACTAAGTTCATTGCCAGGAAAGGAAGGTCTTTTTGAATTATGAGAGGTTTCTTAGCTGTTGTTGGTCCAGCACCCTGTCTGATCTTATTTTCTTACTGAGAATGCTGTACTTGAAATGCACTTTTGATAAGTATGGCCACTGAAAGATGTAAAATACAGACCTTTGAAATGATATCTAAAAGCCAATAACTTTTTATTGAAAAGCAAAAGAACACAAAATGAGAAGTACTTTCAGGAGTGTACATCTCTGCTCAAGTTCTGGAAACACCAGGGAGCTTTTTAAATGAACAAATTTGCAACTGTTCATAACAGCCGTCCTGTTACATTCAGCTGTCTTCAGTCTCCACTGTGCTCAGCTGGCATCTGTATAAAGAAGATGTGGTGTAGTTATTCTTGGTTATGAGGTCAGGATCAATTTTTCTGGATAAGCGCGATTTAAAACTTGATAACTGTTACTTCACAAAGAGGAGAATTCTCTATTTGATTTATCAAAGCACAGAAGGAAGGTGCTAGAGCTCTGCAATTCTTGAACTGGGTGGTAGTCAATGCAACCTAAATTTGAGCAGTACTTACTGTAGTTGTGTTGCAAATAGGCAGTGGTTAACTTGGGATTTCCGTTTTCAATTTACTGTAACTCTTCACTGGGATACTTTCTTAAATGATCATTGCAGGGATGTAGGTTAATTAACACCTGTTAACTGCCCCTTACAGAGTTATGGACGTCGATTTAAATGTTAGTTTCTCAAGCAGTTATGGTGACTGTTTCTGTACAGCCAACTGCAAGAACTAAAACATACGTTGTACTGCTGTCTACTTTCAGCCCACATCATATCACTGAAGTGCACTACAGTATGTGAGTATATGTACATACAGCAGTAACAAAAAATGACAAAACTGACTCCATAACAGTGGCTGGGTGTTGCTCATGCCTTTCTACAAGAGGTATACTCTCTACCAGCAGTGTCTCTTTTAAATGAACTACTGATAGGCAGAGACTCAAGAGAACAGAGTGCTGTCTAGCATTTCATTGCTGGGGAAACTACAGACATATCATTGCAGAGGTTCATTGTTCTTGGATCTAATATATGTATTGTCTTTTACTTGAGTCTGTTTTGCTGCATTAGTTCTTGTTTTATCCACTTTTGCAGTGGTGAGGAAGTGGAGCTTTTGACTTTGCAGCAGCCTTACTCAGATGGGCCATTTCAAACTCGATTGGACTATGTTAATATCCCCAGTTGATCAGCCTTTCTGTGTATCTCCTATATCTAGCTCTATGCCTGGTTTGTTCACTTAACTTTGTTCCCCTCTCTTTAGTGCTGGTTGTGGCACTGTCCAAAACTGAACCCTGTGTTTGAACTGAAGCCTTCACTGCACTGAATTGAGTGAATGAGTTATTTCTCATCTAATGTGGAAAGAGGATGGCATTTGGAATAGCACATGCAACATTCTTGTTGGCTTAGCTTATATCCCACTAGATACTTACCATCAAAAATGTCTATCAGTGGGGTTCCCGCGGCAATGGGGAGGTCTGATGTTGTCTCACTGATGATACTGAGGAGTGATTTGACTTCTGATTCTAGATGCTCCACAGTTTTTATTACCTTCTAATGGAGGAAAAAAAGGATAACAAATGTAGAGGGGGGCAGTCGGAGTCAAATGGAAGGAATTGTGTACCAAATGTCTTAGTTCAAGAGGTGTCTTGCTGTCCCATGCTACTAACAGCTGATTTTGTTGTTCATTGCAATTTAATGTGTTTTTCCAGTTATACTGGCCTCTAATGGCACAAGTATTAGAATTTTGTTTGGCAAGACTTAAAATACAACATTTATATTACAGCATTTTCTTTAGCCAAGAGGTTTAGTGTATTCCCGGAACCAGTGCTGCAGCTCTTACCTCTTCAATAATGTCTAAGCGTTCATGCATTGTATCATGTTCGTGGCACCAGCTTCCCAAACTTCCAGGTAACAGACTGGTAGGATCTGCAGCAGCTGGAAAAAGCAGCCGCAGTTAAATTAGCAGGAGCTTTCTGGTAATAACATTTACCTTTCTGACTTCTGGAATTGTATTTGGCGTGCTCAAGAGTGTTCTTTATTAAACAGAGCATATCTTGTCCTAGGTGGAAATAACTCGGTTAAATACAGATATACCCAACTGTTGTGAATGTTTCCTGGCGGCGTACAGATTTGTCCAAGTTGTTTGGAACAAGCTCTTTTCTTCTGATTGGCTATTTATTTGTGTTTATTTCACGAAGCCTGTTTTTTCTGTGTAGGGCAACCTTATTGCATACTCCAGCTCACATCTGTCTCTAGAAGTATAATACCAAAGTGTTGGAAAGGTCTGCCTTAATAGAATCTTATCATAGAAAGGCCTGGGTTGAAAAAGGCCACAACAACCATCTGGTTCCAACCCCCTGCTATGTGCAGGGTTGCCAACCAGCAGACCAGGCTGCCCAGAGCCACAGCCACATCCAGCCTGGCCTTGAATGCCTCCAGGGATGGGGCATCTACAACCTCCTTGGGCAACCTTTGTCAGTTCATCTTGGACTCTCATAAGAAGCAACTAGCATGGTAAAGCTTTGAAGAGCAGCTGAGTTTGTCTACTTACACTCTGAATGGATGCAAGCTGGTAATTCTATTGTGCCACTAACTTCTGCATAAACATCTAATTTTGCAATGGGAAGAGAAATGGGGAAAATGTGCACAGCCAGTGCCTTTGTTGGGCAAGTTACTCATGATAGTATTATATACAAAATCACTCATCTCTGTCAGTTAGCTACGGTTACCTCTCAGTACACATGAGCTCTCTGGCCATCTCATTCTTCTGGCTGTACCCCATGTAAGAGCAATGTCTGCTGTTATCTGGTGCTTGAGTGGAGCCAATTAATTTTCCATGACTTTTTCACAGTAACTTTTGGGTTTTAATGTGTGTATGTAGAGCAGTAACAATACTTAAAAACTGCTGAATTGATAGACTTAACTTCAAATAAGAATAAGCATATCTGATATATTTAAGACCTTCAGAGGCTGTAATAATGAGAAAGCAGCACTAATTTGTTGTGTTGCTGTTTAGTTGTGATGGAGAAAACCAGAGCATGATGTGAGCTTGTGTTATAATGTGTGCTTGAAGGCATAGGAGGAGCAACCATGGCTGTTTCCAATAGAGTTGTGTGAGAGCAGTGATTTGAACCTGGTGCAGTGCTTCGTGTCAAGTCTGTGCCATGAATTTTGGTGTTACGTGGTATCAACTTGTTAGGATTGTAGCAGTTCAATAGTATCAGAAATGTGCTGTGAGCTGGAATGGAATCCTTGAGGCAGGAAGGTGGAGAGGAATAAAACGTGGCCTAATGTACTAGATGTGGTATTATTTAAAAATTGCTTTAGCACAGTTTTAGACAGTATGTTTGGATGAGTTTGAGTTGTAGGCTTTGCTGGGGCTTGAGTTCTTGTACGTTCACCACGAGGTGGTGCTGTGAGGACAGGATCCTAAAGATTTATTCTGCCCGTTTGGTACTTAGACTGGAAATATGGCAGCTATGTAGAAGACAGCTGCTTCACGGTCGTTGTTTATTCGTTGTTGGTATTTTGGGAATGTTGTTACTCTTTAATTTAGTAGTCAGGTTGAACCATGCTCCCAAAACTTCGGCTTATTTACGTGTTGTTTTTTTTTTTTTCTATCACAGCTAGAGCAATGTGGAAATGCTGAATTTTTGTATCAGAAATGGAGGCTACAAAGCAATGGCCAGTCTTTCTCTACAAACCTTTTCTGCACCAACAATAGTAGTAGTAACTGTCAGATATTAATAGAATTTCCACCTTTCCAGTGTTACCAGCTCTCTGCGTCACGTGTGATTCAGCAGAATGCTGAACTGCTGCCCATCGTGTCACAGGGACAACCTTAAGTCACGAGGTGGAGTTGGAAGGCTGTGGGCCTCCCTTGGGTGAGAGCCAGCACCTGTCGTAAGTGTTTGTTGGTGGAGTTTTGGCCAGCCATAGGCTATGTGCCAGGCTTGTTTAGTTTTGTGCATTTCCTAGAAATGGGAAATGCAGGAGAGCTAATGCTAGTTCAAGTCAGTATTGGCCACTTCTCTTCCTCTGATTGTGCATCTTGTATCGCGCTGGTCCATAGAAGACTGAGTTCTGCCTTTGGAGTAGCAGAAGTAACCAGTCTAGAGACCGTGACCTTCCCAACCTGTGTAATGCCACAGTGAACATAGCTGCTGGTGCTCTGCAGGGGCTCCTCTCAATTTTTTCCTGATGCAGGAGCTTAAATCCTCTAAGGAACCCTTCAAACAAACATGATGTGATGAGGTCCTGCTCCAAATGCCACGTCAGTCATTACTTATCTCTTTTGTGTTAAATATGTTTCTTCTCTGCACAAACCACATTATTTTTGCCTGAGCTGACTGCCACTGTAAGTGGGAGTACACAGATAGGTAGGGGAGGTAAAAGAATGACTGTCTTAATACTGCCTTACATAGGTGTGCACAGCTAAAGGTAGAAGCTATTGTGAATTGCAGGTCTCAGTGGCATTCTGTTCTTTGGGGTGGTTGGTGCTTTTTTTGATGCAGAATCAGACAGCTTTCTTGCAGTGCGGATGCATTGCTAATTTATAGACTGCAGTGGGCTTGTTGGAGGGGGAGGAACTGTCTCACCCAGCCTTATAGACCTAGAACCACTTAAGTGTCTCATAAAACATCTGATAACTCTTGTTAGTAAGTGACAAGAGTTAGGAGAGAGTCTGTTTTAAAAAGCAAAATGGTTTTAGTTCCCAGGTTTCACAGCCTGGATTCTGTGACCCAGAAGAAATGCTGTCAGGCAGGGCCTGTGTCTCTGTGCCTGGTTAGCAGCTTTCTCACTACAGCAGAGATGCTCTTGTGCTTGTGGTGCCCTTCACCACCACACTAGAATGGGACACTGTGGGAAAGGACAATGGATCAGGCAGACAGTGCTTTGGTCACTGTAATTGCTTGCATTCTGCAGTTAGCAGAGCTTGGGCTTGAGGCTTTGGCTGCTGGACACCTGGTTATTTTGTTAGCCCACAGCTTTCATCTCTGGGATGGGCTGTTCACAGAACACGTCCAGTTCCTTGTGCATAAATATGACAGATATCTGAGTCACTAGGCTGACCCATACTTTTATAAGGGCAAGGGTTAAACTCCTTATTTCTTTACTTTGCCTATCATCTAGAAATTCTGACTTGTCTTGTACATTTTGTCTTCCATGTCAGGTTGATAATACCATAAAAGCAGTGTGGATCTACTGCCCTGTGCTGTGGTACCGTTAGAAACCAGCAGAAGGAGCAGAGAAACAAAATTTGAGATTTAAGGATGCCAGCAGACACAAGAAGTGCTTCTGTGTGAGAAGTTTAAGCAGGACCCTCTCATAAATGAGAAGCTTGCTGTTGGGTTTAAGGAAGTACAGTGGTTGTGTCATTGCCTCTTCTATATATGAATTTGTTCACATGATCTTGACATGTCAGTATCTGAATTCTATATGTATATACATACATCTGCTCTCACACTAAGTATAAAAGTGAGTATATAATTGCTCAACAGCTTTTAAAAAGTATATTAATCTATATAGATATATACCTAGTGTGTGCACATATAATACGTAGACATAAGTAAATGTGCACCTCGTAGTGAAGTTGGTGTCAGAAGTCGGAGGGTAATGTTGACTTACACTTTACCAATAAAAGTTCACAACATAGCATTTCTGGTCCCCTCAGTCTGGTCCCATTAGTTGCACATATAAGCAGACTGTTGTCCACATACCTGTGTCACAAAGGCATCTGATAGGAGAAAAATTGTTTTAAATTAAAGCAACACAGAATTGCAAGCTGGAACACAATAATTCAGGTTAGAACACAGATTTTTTTTTAAAGTCAATGAATCAAGTCAGTAACTGAAAGTACCATCTGCATTGCTTGTATTCTTTATAAGGGTAATTCACAAGGATACATCACGAGTCAAGCTGTAGAAAATACTGGGTTGGGTTCTGTGGGCTGTGTTACAAAGAAGGTTGAGCTAAGTGACCATAATGTTTAAAACATTGGTTTTAAAGTTGATTAAAAAGACTTTTTTTGCATCGTTCTGTAACCATTGTGGTTGTGAGAATTGACTGAGAGTTCATGTTGTGCTCAGCAGGGATCTTGAGGTAAAGCAAAGCAGACCACAGGCCAAATGAAAGACAGTTGAGACTGAAAAAGCAACCAGATGGCTCATAAAGCCTGAAATCATGTGACAGATGATAAAAGGGAACATTTATAGCTTTTGAAGGAGATATGCTCCTGTTTGTATTACCTTAGGTTTATCAGTACCATTTTATTCCTGTAGTATATAGCAAGAAGTGATGTGATAGCTCCTACTGAGAAAACAAAACTTACAGTGATGGGTTTGTACTGCAACAGAAAAAAAAATATTATCAAATGGACTTGAGTCCATTTGGTGACCCCTTCCCAGCTCATTTGAGATGAGCATGATGGATGTCCAAAGGCATTTGCCAATCATTGCTTAAATTGTTTATTATCTAAATATACTGTTGGACTCAATGTTAAAGCACGTAAGGTGACTTCGAAGTGTTAGCTCAAGAAATCGCAGTTTGCAAGTTAAATTCAACTGCTTTTGCAAGTGAGAACAGAAAAGTCTATCAGTATTATCAGTAATACTCATATTAATGCTTTCAGACCTAGGTCCATCTTAAACTAACATTGCTAGTCATGTTTAGTTTGGTGAGGCTGTTCTTAAAAACAACCTTAGTTGCCAGTTATGTCAACCCTCCAATCTCCTTTGGATTTACACCCACCTGAGTTTTGTATATGTTTATATAAAGGAAGGAAGATGAGAAAAAAATGTTCCTCTCTTGTTTTGAAATGTATTTCCAATGTGCTGGTCTTATTGAGCAAGCAGCCAAGGAACTTTGTCTCATGCTTGTTTTTGCAATGGAAAATGGCTACGAGAAATCAGAGGGAAGAGAAGTATGGGCTATGTAGCTTGCAGGTAAGTAGATCTTATTCACTCTGCAAATTAGAAGAGGATATTCTAATGTTTTGGGCTCCAAACTCATGTTTCCCTTTGTGATATATTTATTTCTGTATGTGTATGTATTTGGTTTTGAAACTAAGGTGAAGAGTTAGGATAATTATAGCTAGTAGCTATAAAAGAGATACTTGTGTATGCAGAAGAGAATGAGCCGTTTCAGAAAGGGGAGGAAGTATGTAATGGCATATCTAAAGTATGTAAGTTATGTAGAATGGATGAGCTTAATCTGGTTTTGAGAATGGAGGAGGTCAGAGAGGTGAGTATTTGATGTCGCTCATGAATTTGGAGATGACCACTGGTATCTGGGGATAAGGAGTTGTGAGGATGTGGCTTTTGGGCTGTGTTTGGTAACAGGAGCTACAATCACGGGGAGCAGGGTGTGAGGTGAGTCTGTGACTTACGAGTCAACTCTGTGTAGCTTGCATGTAAGTTCTGCCTGTAGAAAGAAATACAGTAGTACAGGAAAGACAATCTTTACAGTTTTTTCCTAATAGTGAAAAAATTGTAGGGACTTGACTGAAGATGTGCTTTCCTCTGGCAGACAATTTGTATGTACTGTAACCACTCAGGAAGTGACTTATGATAAATACATGCACACTACATCCCATGTATTCATGGAGTGACCCACAACTGCCTCACTCAGGACAGATCAGATGAATTTATAAGTACAGCTGATGCAGGAGAACAGCAGAGTCCTGTATTTCCAGACCCCTGACTTTCCAGCAGTTTGAGAATGGCATTTGCTTTACCCACAGAGGTTACCACTCCAGGTAACTCAATAACGTAGAGGTTTTACACATGGGTTAAATGTGCTCGCTCCTATGCAAAATCCCTATTTCAGGTGTCTCGTTCTTAAGAAGCACCCCTACATCTGGGTACAAACTTTCATTCATCCTTGTTGGAGTTCAGAATGAGTGTTTGCAAAGACTCCCCTTGAACTGGGACAGGCTGTAGGCTTCTATAAGAGAAGGAAATACCTATTATGTGGGGTGTAGTTGAAACTACTGTTGGCTTATTAGTAGAAAATTATGACTCAGGCTGGTTTCAAATGGTAGCTCTCATGAGTTTTACTGTGGACTTAATTACACCTGTTTGGAGTTCAGTCTTCCGGGAGCAAAATACTGCTTTATGAGAATGCAAGTAGTTGATTTCATGCAAAAATAAGCAGTTTTGAAAGTTTGGTTGTTCTATTTTTCCCTCTTCAGTTTCTGAACAGTGCCTCTGATTGCTGAATATCACCTTTATTCCTATTCACCCCAAAAGCTCGTGAGTCTACCCTGCCTTAGGTACAGCATGTGCATATCGGAAGATCCTAAGAATTCTGAGAAGTCATTCTGTGTTAGGTGAATGAGGGGAAAAAGCGTTCCCTTAAACATGATTTGCTTTTTCTTGCAGTTAAAAGCAGCTGAACCACAAAGTGCTGTACTGAGCAGCAGTGGTTCCACTCAGGCTCCCTTGTTGCTCTCTCCTCAGTAGCTCAGTATTTGGATATGCTCATCTAACTGGAGCATGTCATGGGCCCAGCCTGCTTACCCAATTGCCTGATAATTGTTTACCTGCGTATTCCAGGTCACCTCTCTGCCATGCATAAACGCATAGGAGACACTGTGCTGCTGGGATGTTGCACCCTCAGAACAATTTGCCCAAAGCTTTTTGTGGGAATGTCAATATGTTTAAATGGGGCAGGTGTTGAATGGCCAGTGCACGTGGCTATATTGAATGCTACTCTAGCAGCAGCACCATCTCACAAACTAACGCAGCAGTAGCAGCAAGGAATGAAAAGCTGCAGACGTCGGGTGGGAGCCTGTAATGAATCCAACTGGGCATCCACACTAACCTCTCACCTTGAGCTGCTTGAAAGCTGACCCTGTGAACATGAAACTGTTCCTGTTAATGGCTGAATAAAAACATACGCTCTACTCGTCCAACCCCAAACCATTTTTAAGAGGAACTGTTGTCAAAGAAAACAGGGATAACCAATAGATGAATCATGGGGGTGGAGTGGTCAGGGGAAGGATCTGTAAGAAAATTAGGAGTTGTGTTCCTCATCTCAAAGGTAGAAAAGGGAGAGTAGGAATGACTTTTCTACAGTCTTTCAGTCAGCCAAGATGTGCACCTGGCTGTGACAGGCACAAACTCCAGCCCTTCCTCAGCTTGACTTGAAGAAACCAGCCAGTATGGACCAGGAATTCTCTCCTTACGAAAAATTATTTCTTGCTGTCTCCCTGTGGCAAGAGCTGTTCTGAGATTGAGGTTCTTCGTTTCCTTTTTCCTTATAGATAATATACATAGGGAGCAAATAAACAAAAAGTTTTCCCACAGTGCTAATGGGGAGAAAACTAGTCAGAGTGCCCTTGCTAGAACTGATAATTCGTCACAGATAAACATTGTAAAGCCAGTTGTGTGGGAGGGAGATGGCATGTGGGATTTGGGGGCAAAGGAGACAAAACAGTTTTTTGGAAAATATTTTGAATATAATGGAAACTCACTGCCCTGCCACAAATTACAAACACTGTGTGTTGTCAAGCAGCTGGAGCAGAGGGAGAATGATGCTGGGCCTCAGCTAGCAGAAAAAAAACATAATACAAACAGGCTGTGGAGCCAGGTTTGTGGTAGCATGGGGACTATAAATCCTGAGACTAGCTGAACAGAATAGCTCTCAGTCATACCATCAGCTGAACTGCTACTACAGGTTAGGTTAGTGCCAGCCCTGCTCTTAATTAAAGTAGAACTTAGATGCCAGTCTATCAGCTGTTGTGTGTTTCTGCTTCTTCCTCCCAAAGTATTTGAAGAAGGAATTGCGAGCCTCAGGAATTTCAAAAAGTAATCCAAAGCAGAAGAGACAAAAATGCAGTACTGTTAACAGCATATCTAAAAAGGAGGTTTTGAGTAAAGCGAATCTGTCTGCGTTCACCTTGAACTAGGAGGATTCATGTATGTGTTGTTACTGCTCCAGTGCAGTAATGATGGAGTTGCAGGGAGCTGGCTGCAGCACATGTCAGCTTCTGGAAATACACTGATCGTGTATTTCCTTGCTCCCATGAGTACAGTAAGATCTGTAAGAAAGCAATGTGCCTCTAGGACAGATTCAATAACACAGAACTAGAGATTCTCCTCTGAAGCAGACACAAACCTGTGACGCCTTCATATAAAGCCCATAAAGAAGCAATTCTTTATCTCCCCCGCCTGCCCCCATGCAAAGTTGTAGACCATGCTGTAGTTTCTGCTTTTCATGCTTGGAGTCACTCACCAAAGAGCTCGTGTTCCTGCAGGACTCCAGCAAACACTAGCACCCAAATGAACAGCATAGTCCCACGCTCCCTGTAGTCCTGTGCAGTGCACGGCAGGCTCCCTCCCAGGCTGTGCATAGACTGCTCTGTCTGTCCGTCCAGCAGTGCTGAGGTTTAGCCAGAGCTAGGAGGAAATATGCCCAGGCTGAGCCAAGATTCTGGAGCTGTGCTTTTTTTTTTTTTTTTTTTTTTTTTTCTCTTTCCTCCCTTTAAAAAACACCCTTCCAGCTCCACAAAAAGTCCAGTTATCCAGGCAGGCTGGCAGAGCTCCAAGCTCCCCAAAGTTTTTACCCTGTATTTATTTATGCAGCCTACAACTGGAATGTGCTGGAAAACTCTGATTGCTCTAAGTACAGCAAGGGGGGCAAGAAAAGGAGGAGAGAGGAGAGGGGTGCGGGATGTTTCTTTCCCTGTAGGATTATGTCTAGGGTGTGGAAAGCAGGAACAGTGGAAAACACGGTATCATTAGAGTTGTGCAAAAACAGGGTTCTCATGTTATTTGTTTTCAAGACTGCAGAAAAATGTCTTCTGGGAGGGCAGAAATTCTGCTGGACTGAGTGCAGCAGCCTTGTGTTGGTGGTGCCTTGCCTCTGGAAAGCAACAAAGGCTCCTCAGAGCTCTTCCCAGTTCGAAAGGTGTTTGAAATAAGTTAGATGTGATAACACCATGCGTAAAAATAGCTCTGCTAATGGCATTCTGACTGCGTGCTTGAGTTAAATACTTATCTTGAGAGCTGATGGGTGTCAATTGGGAACGTGTCCATGTAGAACATGAGGAGGTAGGCCTCCAGCCCTGAGCCTGCTGCAGGTTCCTGGCGCAACCTTTGTCACGTTCCTTCCAGCTTGCAGGTCTTTCGTTTCCTACCTTTGAAGGAAAACTAATAATCCTTTTACCCAGCTCAAGAAATAACAATTAAAAAAAAATGTTTGCTAAGCATTTTGTGTTGCCTGAGTTTAAAAAAAAAAAAAAAAAAATTAAAAAAAATTCTTGCGTTTTTATCAAGGAGTAGTTATTACAGAGCGAGTTAGGAATGCATTGCAAAGCTCCTGTACAACTAAGGCTGTACATGCTGTATGAAGGCTATGACTGCTGAAATGAGAGGTTGTCTGTGCTGAGGCTATGGGGGAAGTGGAAGCAAAGCCAACAGACTGAGGAAATGTGAGTGCTGTGCCGGTGAGTTCTTTACAACCAGGATGTTGACCTGCAGGAGTGCGAGCCCTGTACTGCTTAGGAGAGAGAAGTCTCAGGAGCAGGATAAGACTTAAGAATAGTTGGTTTCTTTTTTTGAGTATGCTTGTCCTGGACCTTTATCCTTACACTAAGTGCCTTTCTCAAGCAGAATCTCCCTCGTGTTCTCTTTCTAAGGGAGCCAGTTGGTGGATGCTTTTTTGCATGTTTTCTGCTGTACTCTACAATATACTATTAAACAGCAATGAACATGCATTGCATTCCTTTTTTCCTCTACACCAGAAAAGCTATAAAAATATATTACAACTGCTGCTGTGGACCACCACTGGGGAGGTCACTCAGCCCTTTACTGCACATTTCCTGGAGATTCTGAATGACTTCATCTCAGATTCATGAAACTGCTGCATTCTCTCAAGGCAATTCCTTCTTACTTGTTGAACAGTGTTATGTTTGACTACAGTGAGATCTGATACCCACAGAGAAGTAAACAAAACAGTGAAGTTTTTCTCTAGTTTGGTACTCCGGAGGTTATTTCTATAGGTAGAGAAGTTCTTTCTGCATGAGGGAAATACAGCCAAAAAAAATCACCTAGGCCAAGTAAGATTTTGGTTTTCAGTAGGGCTACTTGTCTAAAGCATTTTGGTGATCTTGGATGACTACCTAAGTTGATTACTGTTGCTGGTAAGCGCTCAGAATGAAGTTGGAAATGAACAAGTCTTTATCATTGTTGTAAATTATGACATATTTGAGATGCATATCAGAAATCATTAAATTGCAAAGTAGATTGTTCAGTGCAAGGCAGAAGATCTGGGTGTAGTGGAGAGTATGTGATATGTATAAACCTATTTGTCTTCTGGAAAGTTATTCAGTCACTGATTACCATCAGAGAAAGCATTCTCCAGCACATTCATCTTGGAAATGTCCATATATGAGAATATAATGAGATCATATGAATATAGGTTTGCACAAAATCCAGCTGTTGAGATGTTCCCAAGACACCAGCAGCCAAAGAAAGCATACCAGTGAACAGGGATGGGAATTTCTGCCAGCAGGCAATCTGGCGAAAGGGAGAGCAAACACAAGGTTTGAGTCTATTTTGGGAGTGTTGGAGTTTTTTGTGTTATTTTGCTTTTTTTGCTTTCTTACAGCCTTTCTGTATCGCTTTCTTGGATGAACCAAAGGCTTGGCAAAGCAAGAGAGTAGGTCATAGAGATACAACTGAGTGCATAGAGAGGAGGAACAGAATAAACAAAGGCCATGTGTCAGCAGAGGATGTGTGTGCCATGAGAAGGAAGATAATATCATTCTTGGGCATGAAATCCTGCAGCATGGACTGGTGGAGGAGTATGGATGAGCATAAACTTGGCAAAGGTTGAATTGCAGTCCCTCATGACTGTAAATGAAACAGAGAGAAAATTATTTCTAGGAGATTATTTCTAGGAACAAAAATACAGTCAAAGACCCATTTGTGTAGGGAAAAGAAAGAGCCTTACATGCAGAGAAGAAAATGGAAGAGAATGATCTCTATCCTGGATTTAGCACAGAGGGACAATGAAATACTGTGGATGTTCCCTTGGGAGAAGGCGTTTACCCACCAGAGTCTGGAGATTCCCCATGTGTTTATCTATTAGCTGCCAGCTGCTTGTGACCTGAAGTTTTCAGGCCGCACCTGGAGGCTGCTGAATCCTTTATGTAAAATGAGGCTTGGCTCATGATTCTTCTAGAGAAGGTGAATTATTTTCACCTTCTTAATTAACTCAGTTCTTGACTGCTGAGTTAAAGCAATAATTGAATGTGTGTGGAAGCAGAGCTTATTGCCTGGAGAGACTGATTTCCAATGAAGAGGTATGCAGTTGTCAGCTGCTTCCAGCGGAAGCAGGCATTAGCTTTGCAATGAGTGTATCATTTGATGAGCAAATGGAAGGTATCTTGGCGTGGTGATATCACCAGAATGAAACAGACATGGTCGATTACAGCTTTCAATTGTGGTAACTCAGCACCACATCCCCGGTAGAAAGCCCTGAGCCTCCTCATCTCTGTTGCTCATGGGAGCAGCCTCTGTTGGTGCTGCAGGTCTTGTGGGCTGCTGCCTTCTCTCCCAGCGCAGTCTCTCTTCAATCTGTTAGATAACAACTTGAATTAGTGGTTACTACCTTCAAGGAACATCAAAGAGTGCAATGTTCTCTTGTCATTTTCATAAAGGCACAGACTTAGGTTCCATTTAAAAACAAATAAACAAACAAAAAAAACCGTGCGGTATTACGAGGTGCTGATGAGATCAGCTCCAGTTGTACCCTTGGAGAAGGTTAACAAACGTGTGTCATGGAATACAGCACTCTGGTCCAGCCTTCTCCAAAACAATACATTTTGTACTGTGCCTAAGGCCAGCAGTGAGTCAGCTTCTCTCTTGAGGCAGTTCCCTTGTGTCATCTTGTTGCCAGCATGCTAAGCTGGGTTCTCTTTGCCAGCATTAGGTAAGCAGCTGATGGGTTTAGGCTGTCATGCATCTGTGACTTCAGCTTCCTGAGCAATCATCCACAAGAAATTTGAATCACAAGACTGGAGGTGGTTTGCATGGGGTGTTGGTGAGTGGTGTCTTACTGTTCGTTTTGTGTTTTCAACCAGCTGTTTGATCCTTTCATTTCACAGATCTCACAGATGTTAATAAGCCCAACTGTGCTGCAGGAGCACCTATGGAACAAGCTATGTAACATGCCTGCTCTTTCTAGAGAAAATACAACTTCATCCTGACCAAGCTGATTTAGCTGTATACTCAGCTAAATTAGTGAATCTGAAATGGACCCTTGACTCCTAACTTTATGTCGCACATGTGGGGCTCTGGTAATGCACACTGCTTTTTTTTTTTTTATTATAGAAAACTGCATCCTTTTGCTTGCATCCACCCATTTGAGTCACATTAAAAAAATGTGAAATAACTCCCTGAGTCCACAGCAAATAACACTCTAGAAAATAACACTGATGGGGGAAGTACTTGATTGTTCTCAAATTGGAATGACTCAGCTAGTGACTTTAGCAGGCCAGTGTTGCACACCACACTAATTAAAGGAAATAATGACTTGAAACTGAACCAACATTTTCACTCTGTGAAGGAGCAATTAATATCTTAGAAGCTATTCATCTGTTGCCTAGCACCTTGCTGAGCACAGGTCATGAGAAACAGCAGTGAAACAGAAGTCTGCGTTACTTAATGTCTGCGTACCTTTCTCCATTAGAGAGCTCATCTGCCGTACATGTGAAGCCCTTGAATACAGGCAGTATTTACCATATGAGCTAGCTGTGAGGTACAGATGTTTAATGAAACAGAAACAGCTGGGAATAAATCCGTTTCAGATCAACAGTCAGCCTGTTCTCATTTCTGCCTTAATTACTGGAAGATCATGGATAGATTCTAAAGAAAGTGTGATTTGCCAGAGAGAGGTCAAGCTAATCTCTTTACTGTCACTCCCCTGGAGATTTATAGTACGTGTATTACTTTGCTGCTGATGTAGTAAAAATCCCAAGTTAAGGGTCCTTTTGAAATGAATGCGGGATAGGAAATAGGATACTGTAGCACGATGCTAGTAGACCTTGTCCCATCTTTAATTGTGATTTTTCTTCAGGCATGCTTCCGACACTTTCTCCAAGGCAGAGAATGAGTAAGAAAATGGTATGATTTTTCTTCTGTCTTGCTGTCTGGTGGATTCTGTTCAGCAAGTATTTGTACAGTGAGCTATTACTGCATGGAGCCAGCATCTTGCCTCTTTAATTCCAGCTGCTAAGCATCGTTAGGAGACAATGTGAATACTTACATAATGTTGCTATTATCAAGAGAATTTGTTCCAGAGGGAAACTTTGTAATCATGAACAGTAAGAGAGGTGCCCACAAAACAATTTCTGTTAAATGCTCATCCAGGGAAT